ATGTTAATGTCCAGAAGATTAAGTCGCAAATTATTTTTATCCTACAGAGGTACAAATGATTTATGTCCAATAGAAAAGAACCCTTTCTGAAGCAATGGGAGAAGTTTTCTGACCATTATCTGGCTTCAGTTTGTTAGAGAAAGTCTCTCAGGCTGAAAACCACTAGAAATCCTCCCCTCCAGGCACCCTGCTCTTTTCTCCCACCCGCTTCTTCTCTACTCCTTCCGGCCAACAGAAGTCATTGACTCCATACTTCCTGCCTTGCACTGTAAACACTCCCTCCAGCTGCTGCCTGCATTCACTCCAAGTTTAACTATGTAATTGCTAAAGACCCTTTTCCCAGACCAGTGCACATACTTTTAACATTCTTATCCTCTGGGTTAGAGAACTGTTCACAGAATTTTCGTTGCCTTTCCTTTAAGCTTCCTTATGCTCCCTATTCTATGACATTTATTTGTACTGTTCATATATAAAACTAAATTTTTTTGTTGTTAATTCTGGGAATGGTGCCAAAATAATTTTTCTATAGCACAGAACTGTTTATTGAGGAGCCTCTGTGTTTGTAACACTATAATTTATTTATCATCTAAGGAACTACTCAACAAGAAAAAGGGAGAGGAAGATTTTGTTCTCTGGTTTTCAAAGTTTATACAACCAGACTAAGAAAACTCAATCTAGAGTATAACTTGACAGGGTCTTGGCACAGAAGTGCTGTTCAGACTTTTGTAATAAAGATAATAAAGACAGTGTTGAGGTAGGGAGAGAATAAAGTAGAAATGCTCAGGAAGAAAGAGATCAACAGGCCACTCAGACAGAGTTTTATAAAGTGGCTCTCCAGGGTCCAAAGGGTAACACTCAGATTTATGGGCCCAGAAGATCCATTTTTGGTTTAGACATTAGAACCTGGTGAGGGATGTTTGGTCAGATATCTGTAAATTGGAGTGTAATATTTTATCTTCAGTGATACTGGGGTGGAGAAGGCCAAAGAAAGCTTGAATTCAGTTGGAAACCCAATACTCATATCCTGTCTTTGACTCACATCGCATATAGCACTTCGTTTTATTCCAGAACTTATATTCTATTTAAATTTTGAGTTGCATCTGAAAATAAATAAATTGTCCTTAACACATAGTCAAACGGTAACACTTCTTATTAGGATGTTAATAATATGGACAAATGTCTAGGTAAATTAGTTCAATTCCAGTTGTACTGTCATGCTGGGGCCTATAGGAGTTCAGTGTCGCCCCAACGGTAGGGGTCAGGGAGAGGGATAAGGACAGCACAGAAGCGTAGTTAGCATTTTCCCTCGGTTCTTCCTCTAATGAAGCAATGAAGATTCACAGGTCATTGAGATTTAATAGTTTTATTAAAAATGTTTCAAAAAGACAAAGAATGCCCCAAGGAGGCACATGGTCCCAGTGCTGTAATCAACACAAAGGGGCCAAAATGGCTACAAAAGGGCAAAAAGGCCACAAAAGGCCACCAAAAAGAGAGAGATCTCAGAGGGGCAAAAAGGGGAGCCCCCGAAGAGCAGAAAAAGGACCTACAAGCAAGAATGTCTGCCTTATATTTGGGCCGTGATGGGTGGGTCCAAAGGCAAGTGAGGTCAGGTGATTGGCAAGTGAGGTCATTTTGATTGACACCTGTTTGCTATATAACTTTGCCTAGTGCACATGTGCTTACCCAGAATTCTACTACCATTGGGGTGTTCTTTGGGCAGTCTTTAGGCTGGGCTTCTATTCCCTTGTTCCCCTTGTCACTCATGTCTGACTAGCTACCTAACAGTATCAATCTCAGTTTTGAATTTCCTAGCTATAAAACCTGGGGCAAGTTACTTAACCTTCTTGTACCTGGTTTCCTCATCTGAGAAATGGGGATAATAATAGTAACTTCCTGACAAGATTGTAAGGATTAAATAAGTCAACATATGAAGAACATTTAGAATAGTGTCTATTATATTATAAGCCCTCAATATTAACAGCTATGTTCATTTTACCTGAAAACAGTGTACTAAGATTGTGCTTCTGAATATTTGTATAAAAGTTAGCATACTGTAAATATTCAATCCCAGGCGGTCGTACTAAATAACAATAAAACACAGCAATGGGAGTTAGTCTCACTTTTTTAAATGGAGAAGCACAGCTTGAAAGGGTAAGAACAATTTCATCATTTTAAAGTCTGTTCTTTAGTAAGAACCAAGAAAATTTCTAAACCAAATGCTAATCTCTGTGTATTAGTCTGCTAGGGCTGCCTCAACAGAATACCACAGACTGGGTGGTTTAAACAACAGAAATTTAATTTTTTTTTCACAGTTCTTGAGGGGAGAAGTCCAACACCAAGGTGTTGGCAGGGCTGGTTTCTGGTAAGGCCACTCTCCTTGGCTTGCAGATGTACACTCCTTGCTATGTCCTCACCAGTTCTTTTCACTGTGCACATACACTCCTGATGTCTCTTTCTCTTTCTATAAAGATACCAATTCTATTGGATTAGGGCCCCACCTTTATGGCCTCGTTTAACCTTAATTACTTCCTTAAAGGTTCTATCTCCAAATATAGTCACATTGGGGGTTAGGGCTTTGACATATGAATCAGGGGTTGGGGGGCAGCTAAAGTACAACTTAGTCCACAATACTCTGCCTCATCCCCTTGCTTTGAAACTTTTAAGGTCTCTTCACTAGGTTCAGAGAAGGTCCAACCTGAGTCATGATGACTAAGGGCTACTTCCCACCACACTTCCGCATAGGCACCTTCTATGTCTTAAGCAAAATTCACCATGCGTTGTTTTGCTTGAGGTATCTTCCTCTTTGTCTGTACTCATTCTTTTCCCTACTCCTAGAATACCTCTTCCCATGTCTGTATGTCCATGTCATACCTATATCTCAGAATCCAACTTAGATGCAGCTTCCTCCTGGAAACCTGTCCCAATCCTCCCTGATGTATGTCTTCTGTTCTCAGCTCCCAAAGCAGTGTCTCTCTTTCAAAATTCCATTTTATATCAGTCCATGCCTCAGCTCTTCCATGAGTTCCTTGGGTGATGACTAGTTCTAATTCATCTGCCATAATTCTTCCCTAGTACAGAGCCTTATTCTACATAGATGTTCCCCAAAAATGTGTTGAATGAAACATCAATTGCATGCCAATGACAACCAGGTAGGAGTAGATAAGAGTATGAGGGATCAGGAAGGATAAATACCAGATATTAACTATGGTTATCCACAGAGGAGTGAGGGCTTTTACTTCATATTTTCTGTAATTCTGAAATGTTTGAATTTTTAAATTATATATATGTATGCATTACTTTTTTAATAAGAAAAAGTATCAAAAACTTTAAGCATTTTTTTCAAAAGAGGTAGGTTAGAGGGAGGAAGTTGATGTCAGGATGCGTGGGTGTAATGCGTTGTCCATGTGGCCAAGACAGTGAAGGAGGAGGGCTTTAGAGGCACCTGATCGAGATATGCACCCATGCAGAAGATTCCATCCTAAAAAAGAATTTATAAGGTTTGTAGAATTGCTTGATTATTTAAAATATGTGCATGTTTAATGGGTGAAAATGAAAACTCAAAAAAAGTTATGTATGATAAATGACATACTTATTTTCTGTGATATTAAAAAAAAATTAAGTAAATGTAATGCAATTCATTTTTAAATATAATTTTTTACCACATATCAAGCCTGCAACTTATCATTTCTTATTTTCTTCTTCTGGTCTTTATATCACATGGAAAATTATTACAGAGTTTCAGAGGAAAAAAATTGAGATTGTTTTTGAAATTATAAAGCACAGAGTCTTTCAGTGATGATTAAGAGAAAATAGATTTCAGCAGGGTAAATGATAACATGGTTAGAAAAATAGGAAGGTAAAATCTATTTTAAAACATACCTTCAGGGCTTATGCATACCTATAAGATTACCTACACAACGCTGAATTACGCACACACATACACACACACACACACACACAATTAAGCAAAGCTATGAATATTTATGCTTATTACACTTAACAATGCATATATGTAGAATCTAAAATTTTGGTTGGTTATATTTGCTCTGCTTTGAACACAAAGTAGAAGTGAGTCCAGAGAAAACATGAAGTGTGCTTTCCCAGAGTTTAGTTCTGCCATAGAACACAGTAAATGTTGTCCTCTGGGAGAGAGGCAAGCCATTTAAATTCAGAGAACAGAGTCTTAACACTAGCAAGCTATTTTTAGCTCAAGCTGTAGCTTAATTTGGAATCCAACCAGTTGAGGTCTTGCCTTTTCTTGGATTGACTTTTTTTTAATGGCAGTAGGTATCTATACATATGGAGAAAGTGTTCTCCCCAAGCAGCATTTCAAATGTTCTTGAAGAATATATATTCTAAAACTGTTGAAAAAAATGGAGCTTTGAAAGTTGTTGTTTATCTATAGACTGTGCTTTTTTCAAATTTGTGGTATGGCTCTAAGAAAAAGAAAGATGCTCTTAATTTGTTTATTCAACCATAGTTCTGGGCGGGGAGTGGCATGCGGTATGCCAACCTGCATAGCTACCAGGTAGAACAGCAATACTGCCTTGATGCCAGGTGTCTGGCTGGAGGGCCTGATGAAAGCAAGGACGTGGGGAGTTTCTTGGCTTCCAGGAGAAAATGCTACTCATGTTTGAAAGGATCTCCCTGAGCTTAAAGGGTAGCCAGACACCTATACTATCAGCCATGGTGACTTTGCTACAAGGGTCCCTGCTCCTGACTGTCCATCAGAATAGTCTGAATTTAAATTGTAAAAAAATTTAAAAATTAATTTCTTCAGTCACACTAGCCACATTTCAAGTGCTCAATAGCCACGTGTGGCTAATGGGCTACTCTAATGAATAGTGTAGAGCCTTTCCATCATGATAAAAAATTCTACTGGACAGCACTAGCTTATACCAATGACAAAATAACAGGCAGTTTTGTGAAAAGCATTAGATAGGGAGTTAAAAGACTCAGAACTTTGTTTTATTCTATCCTTTATTTTCATTTTTTTTTTCAGTTGTGCCTTTGAGTTATAACTCAGAGGACAACTTTACACACTGGGCTTGAAAGACTCATGTCTTTTGCTTTAATATTGCACTTCTGAAACCCAGCTATCACAACACATCAGAAGCTTTTGACACAGGACTAGGATATAGATATCTCAGTTAGTATCAAGCACTAGATTACTATTATTTTTGGTCAAACACATATATAGTGCTTACTGTGTACCAAGTACTATTTTAAGCACTTTATAAATATCATCTCATTCTCATAATCACCCTGTGAGCTGGTACAATTATCCTCATTTTCTAGATGAGGAGACTGAGGAGCAGAGATAGTAAGTCACTTACTGAGCGAGTAAGCAGTAGGGTCTAGATATGAACCCAGGCATTCTTCCTTCATAATCTATGGTCTTAAACATGCTTAATGCTGTCTTTATGAAAACCCACGTGATTTGAGAGAATTGCTTCACCTTACTCATCAAATGAGGAAAGCAAACTAAATGCTTTCTAAGATCCTTTCCACTGTCAACCGTCTAGGATTTATTCACTTACACAGTTGCCGTTGAGTGTCTAATCTGAGTAGGGGGTATATTAGATGCTGGATACACATTGACAAACAAAGCAGACATGGTTTTTGCCCTCACAGTGAGAGAAGCATACATTAATCAAACAAATACATGGACAATTGCAATGGGAAGCAGTGTGACAAAGGACTGACTTTCATTACTGAGAGTGTTTAATGACCCAGTCAGAGAGGCCCGATGTCGCTCTTTTGAGCAGGCAGAATGTGAGTAATGCAGCAGAGAGGAAGGCAGATCAGGGAGCCTCCACTGTCCTGGCTACTGCCACTCAGCGCAGGTCAGCTGTGTCCGTGTGCCCCTGGGGTGGTGTGTTTACTGTGGATCTATGCGGGTGGGGAGTAGAGTAGAAGCGGGAGGTTGGAGGCCGTGGGTGAGCAGGACAACAGAGAAACAAAATTTGCCCTCCCTCAGGGCACTCTTCTCCCTGGCTTGCCCAGATTCATGTCTCCTGGGCAACCAGTGCATGTACCTACGTCAGAGTTAAAAATGGAACACAGGCTAACATCTGTAATGGGGGCCAAAAATAATTTGGGTTTCAGCCTGTGCACAGCTTACACACAGGGGATAGTTGAGCACATGCCTATGTCAGTAATGTCAGTGTGTGACAAGGCAGATGTGTGTAAAAACTCAGCTAGAGAATTGGGGCAGGAAACTTCAGGTTAGAAATTGATTTGCTTCAGGGAGTCTGATTAAAGAGACTTTGCTCCAGAAAGAGCACTGATTCTCAACTCTGTGGGTGGGAAATTTTGTTAAGGAGAAAAAATTAAAAGAAAGAAAATAAGAACCTAATAAGAAAGAAAATAAGAACCTCATTCCTAAGAGGCTTCTTTTCCCCGACCCCCCTCGTTTTTCTGCTGTAGATTTTCCCTAAGGCTCAGGCCTTGGTTTCTTTCACTTCAGCAAACTCATTCTATTTCATGGCTTTAACAGCTCTTCAGTAGTTGAGACAAATACAGACAAGAGGCTAACAGGGAGATATTCTTCTCTGGTCTTCAACCTGGAAACTAGAAAGAAGGATTGTCTACTAAGAATTAACTACCGAACAAGAGCAGTGGCTGAGAAGAGTGATTGATCCTACCGACATATCTTAAAATCGGGGTTGCAAACTCAATACCTACAGTGGCTAAAAAGGTGACAGAAACAAGTTACACAGCCTGGGCGGAATCCATGGTGAACTGGAGATTGTGTGCTGCTGCTATTACTACAGCCAGTTGTTGCCCAATTCCTTTTTTCTATGTTTCTTTTTATTAAAGAGAAGTCAGAGATCTGAATTTTTGTGTGAAATGTGGGCAACTAATGTTGTATGTTAGTGGCACAACAACATGTCTGCAAAGAGAAATGTGGTCTTTTGCTCCTAAGACTTGATAGTCTTATTATATGAAAATTAAAAGACTGCCTGAGGAGGGAAATGGCCACAAGAAAAGCATGGTGGAGGGAAAGTTAACATGTGAACGGAAACAAAGGGTCTCTAATTCTTCAATAACAGATGAGAAAGGCAGCAGAAGCCACTCCACATAGCAGGTGCATATTGAGTGACCAGTGTGGAGTTGTAAGCCTCAGATGATAATGGCTTGATAACATCAACCACTACAATTAACCAGCTAACTCGGTTCATCCTGGCTTGGTGCTCACCATACTACTTCTGCTTATGATTTGGTTTCTCAAGATCTGTCCACAGAGAGAGAGTGCAAATATGAATATCCACTTTATTTTGTAGTTTTACTTCACTTCTAAAATAATAAATGGGTGTTCTGGTTTTACAAATTTATCTCTTATAGTTAAATCAAGTGTCTCTGTCACTCAGGACCTCCTCACCTAAGACATGGTTGAAAATTAAATTTTTATGTGATGATTATATATATATATAT